TGAAGACCTAAGAAAGTAGTATATGCCATCAAAGTACACGCCCTGTCCCACATTTTACAAATTCACCATACTAATGTCAACAGAAAATATACAGCTACTTCAGAATATTGCTACGTTTATACACCATGCACTGTTAAAACGCAAACGCGCTTGTACCACACACCCATTGTAACTGTTTTTTACTTGTACTATGGGCCTCTGGCCAACAGTTCAGAAATAAAGAACTCTCACTAACATATAGACATTTACTTACATGAATTATATCTTTATACTGTATACTCAACAGTGTTGACAGACGTATCCAGAATGTTATGAAATTCCTACTTTTCTTATCATTTCGTCTTTGAACGTCATTTAGAAGTGATACACCATAAAGGATGTCAATTGGATGTCAATTTCTCTATTTGAGGAACACGACGTTTCGGAGTATATTTTTTTTCCTTCATCTGGTGAGTGTGATGTTTAATGTCGGTGGAATTACGTAAAGGTCTGTATTTCTATTAGATAGTTCCACGCACGATCGTAGTCCAACTAACAAAAGTGTCATTTGGTATTTTATGCAGAGTTCGCATGTGACAGTTTTCATTGAACCACAATGACATTTGCATTCATCAGTTCTCAAAAACGATACTTGACAAACTCTCACTAAATCCAGCGTTACTGACAGCCAGAATCTACACATTTTCCGGACGTATTATATTTTACGACACTTGTACCAGATTTCTCATATACCTACAGCTATCATAATATTGATCAGACATATTTCTATATTTTGGTAACCGAAATTGCTATACACAACGAAATATGGCCAAAAGCGGTTTAAAGCAACTTTTAGGGTAACCTCCCCAAAGCCCTACAGCCCATAAACCTACAGCTTATTACAACAAAGTTCATGTCCAGTGCGTTGCTAACCTCCTGCCTGTTACCTATTTCATACAAAGGACCAGCCCAAACACTCAGAAATTAAGAGATTTATTTTTATGACCAATAACAAATCTAAGAGTTTGAGAGAATGGTTTTATTGGATGATAACAAAAATATTTGAACAAAAGTTCAATAATATTGAACTTGAGGTGTTACTAACTTCATTAATTATCGTAATATTATAACATATTAAATATCAGTATCAACGGGGACACCAAACATGGGAATCGCACATTGTACTCATGTGGGAAATCGAACCCGGGTCTCCACCGTGATGAGCGAACGATGTAACCACAAGGCTACCCACCGCCCCAATTTTGAGAAACATGATACGTACGAAACGTATTCATTAATTTCTGTGCGAATAACCCAATATTTTTACGGATTTTGGTGACATGGCTTCTTTGCTGTTGATGGTGTAATGGGAGGGTTTCTCTGATCAAGAAGGAAGGGAGCATAATAACATAAATTACATGCTGGTTTTGGTTACCCGCATGTTTTGAGTATAGAGGGCATTGTTCAGCATCCTACCCTCTGCAGCCTCCCCGAAAGTCTGTGACAACCAGAAGGTCATCCAAGACTGTTACGTGTGGACAGGAGGCTATGTCCAGGTAAGTGAAAGTGTCCTACGATATATATCATCGTGATGATGTGCGAGGTTCAAGTGTTTGGAGAAGGTAAGGTCTTTAATCATGGACACGAATCGTGCTACATCCAGTCACTTCAACTATGCAAATGCACTCCTTGTGGTGAATGGGCCTAACACTCAGTTAACGGATGAAATGTAGTAGGAACAGATACAGGGTACACTTACAGAATACCGGATACATACCAACCATATTGTTAATGTCACGTCTATCTAACTCTAACGCTATCCCTAACCCTAAACCTTACCCTAACCCGAACCCTAAACCTTACCCTAACCCTAACCCTAAACCTTACCCTAACCCTGACCCTAAACCTTACCCTAACCCTAGGAGTTAGGAAGGTATCCGGTATTCTGTAATCTTACCAGATACTGTTTTGAGACTGGAAGGAGAGATAAAATAATTATGTAATAGACCAAAGGCATGAACAGTGGCCCCATCACTTCATGTTAACTTGTTAACTTGTTAACACTGATTTATTTTGTAAACAGTTCTCTCAACGAGTTAAAGATTGTAACATCCAGTGTATATTTTCTATGTTAAATGAACATTCTAATTTAGAGTTCTATTCATGTGTCAAAAGTACGTTTAATATGGAATCATACTTGTCAACATTATATAACAAAGATTTAAGAAGATGTTTATCACTTTTAAGATTCGGTGAATTAAATATTATGAAGAATACAGGCAGAAGCAATAATATCCAAAGAGAATTAAGATTTCGTCCATTTTGTAAGAACATTTTAGAAGATGAAATTCATTTTATGTTTATTTGCCCACAATATGATGATTTAAGAACAGGATACATGTTAAATATTGACTGTAAAGATAGAAACTCTCTCTTTCGCCTTCTTCAAAATGAAAATAGCAATTATTTATATATGTATGCAAATTATATTAAGGAAGCGTTTATGCGACGTAGCGCATTATTATTGTGAATATATAAAAATATGTTTTAGTTATTGTGCACATCATACCTTTTGTATTGTAATATATATTGTAGATGGGCCTGTGGCCTTTCTTCTGAATAAAGTTATATATACTATTAAACATGTTTGCACTTCGATGGTCACAAACTCGAATGTATTCAAATATCAAAATTTGACAACCGGTATTAAGTGATGTACATGGCTAGAATAGTTTTAACTGTGATGTTTAAACATGTTTTTATTCATTTATTCAAATTTGGTACACATATCGTGCTACGTGTGCATTTCAAAGTTAAACTAATACATTGGCTGGCAAATCAACAAACAGCAAACATGTCATTCATGTACACGTTCTTGTCTGGATTTCTATGATGAAAATTGCGACATTCATATGATATATATAGTATAAATGACTTTCAGAAGATACCGTGACATGATAGATTAGGCTATACTGTTCTTGAAGCTTCCAGATTACTTTTGACAGTCTGAATATAGCAACTGGCGATGCTGGCACTCAACACTATTGAATTCTAACAGAAACAATGGTTTCTAACAAATAATAACACTGCCACGTAACACTGCATGTATCTTTATCTTTTTCGCCATACAGTTAATGGCAGCTTAAACGGTTATTTGTGTGTGTTTAAAACACGAAAGATGGCGGATGGACGACAGAGCCCCTGAAACTAAGTTATGTGGACGCGACACGGGCAGTTTGTGAAGGTATTATGTGTTAAAGAATCCTTGTGAGTCGACAGTGAAAATTTTAATTATTGCTTGTTATTACACGAGGTGGTATTGTCAATTCAAAGGTGATGTGATTTCCAAATAGTTGCAAGGCGCCAGTGAATCAGAGTTCGAAACAGAAAGTGGCCCAGATGATTCTGTGGATATTAGAACTGTGATTAACATGGGTGAGATCACAACAAAGTACCAATGTAGAGAGTGTGTTATCGTCAGATTTTGCTTGTCGGCAAGATTGTCAGAGGCAAAGATACGATTGTGATTGGCCAACATCTATAATGCGATGAAACCTCAGTGACCGGTTGTAAGCCCAAACATCAATTACAATTACATGGTTTCCTTCGAAACATCTAATTAAAAGTCTGGTGACAAAAAACACCCTAACCCATCTAACAACTTCCTCCTCACCAACACCTACCTCACACACTCACGTACAAACGACGTGTTTAACAACATTGTTATAATTTCCCGATGGCATGAAAGTGACATATTGCAATTGCCAGTTTAGTGATGACAACATTTACTCAATACATACCTTGCCCAACACAAACGTGATGGCAATGTCCGTTACATACATTCCCCTGCTACAAACGTGATGACAATGTTCGTTACACACATGTCCTCTGCTACAAACGTGATGACAATGTCCGTTACAATCATGCCCCTGCTACCAACTTGATGACAATGTCCGTTATACACATTTCCCGTGCTACAAACGTGATGACAATGTCCGTGACACACATGTCCCCTACTACAAACGTGATGACAATGTCCGTTACACACATGCCCCTGCTACAAACGTGATAACTATGTCCGTTACACACATTTCCCCTGCTACAAACGTGATGACAATGTCCGTTACACACATTTCCCCTGCTACAAACGTGATGACAATGTCCGTTACACACATTCCCCTGCTACAAACGTGATGACAATGTCCGTGACACACATTTCCCCTGCTACAAACCTGATGACAATGTCCGTTACACACATTTCCCCTGCTACAAACCTGATGACAATGTCCGTTACACACATGTCTCCTGCTACAAACGTGATGACAATGTCCGTTACAATCATGCCCCTGCTACCAACTTGATGACAATTTCCGTTATACACATTTCCCCAGCTACAAACGTGATGACAATGTCCGTGACACACGTTTCCCCTGCTACAAACCTGATGACATTGTCCGTTATACACATTTCCCCTGCTGCAAACGTGATGACAATGTCCGTGACACACATGTCCCCTGCTACAAACGTGTTGACAATGTCCGTTATACACATTTCCCCTGCTACAAACGTGTTCGTTACGTGATGACAAATTTCGTTACACACATTTCCCCTGCTACAAACCTGATGACAATGTCCGTTACACACATTTCTCCTGCTACAAACTTGATGACAGTGTCCCTTACACACATTTCCCCTGATACAAACGTGATGACAATGTTCGTTACACACATGTCCCTGCTACAAACATGATGACAATGTTCGTTACACACATTCCCCTGCTACAAACGTGATCACCATGTCACTTTCTGATCACACATTCCCTTGCACTCCCCTTGTTCATGGCAGTTCTCCACACACACTATGCTCCACCAATGACAACAATATCAGAGTTACCCCTGCATACCTTCTGCCCAGTCTAAATATGTCAACATAATTAGGCAAACTGATCTACTGCAGTTCTCGAGCTTCCGAAAACGTCACTGTCCGGTGTCTACCGTAACCAAAAATGTTACCAACGCAAATAGCTTCTTAACTTATTTAATAATGTTCCGTTTCTATATAATTTGATATCAGATATCATCATAAGGTGTTTCTGTCTGAACTTTGAAGTCCTCAAATACACTGTGGAGATGTGAGAAGGAGGGTCTGCTTGCGGGATCCTCTTTCCAGCATTGTTGCATGATCTCATAGTAGGGGTCGATCTGTTCAGGAAGCCAGTGTTCTTGTGGTTTTGGTAAGCGATACCCCTTGACTGTTTGTTCCAAAACTTCTGGTGGCTTCATACCTGTATCAGAGAACAGAGTCCGTGATATTTTCCATATACAACCTTGGTTTGGAGTGAGTGAGGGAGTTTAGGTTTACGCCGCACTCAGCAATATTCCAGCTATATGGTGGCGGTCTGTAAATAATCGAGTCTGGGACCAGACAATCCAGTGATCACCAGCATGAGCATCGATCTGCGCAACTGGGAACCGATGACATGTGTCAACCAAGTCAGTGAGCCTGACCACCCGATACCGTTAGTCGTCTCTTACGACAAGCATGGGTTACTGAAGGCTCATTCTAACCCGGACCTTCACGGGTACTTGGGGTTGGAAGGTGCATAAATATAACATGTAACATATAGCATGAAGATAAAAGGAAACTGAAACAATGCTTCCGCAACGAATATACCATAGTTCTTTTCTCCGGCACAGCGATGAGTTAACATAACATCACTGCCACAGGCTAATTTGCATATCACGTGACCGGACTTTTCTCTTGTTTGTAATCAAACGCGCATATTCAAAATAAGAAGAGACTGGACTCACGAAAGCTTTTCGGCGCTCTCTATATAATGTTTTACATTGTTACATATATATTCTTCCACAACTGCGACAGTTAAGTGTATGGCAGTACATATTTAGATATCAAACTTGCTGCATCGTTTGCTCTCCGTCGGCTTCGATGACTGCACGTGGAGCCGTACAACCAATGTAAACAAAGGATCGCTACGCAAATCGAAATAGTGTTACATGCTTTTGGATATTTTCTCAGTGAAACTAAACCATTCAATTAAAGATGTTTAGTTAGATGTGTAGCCTCATCCAAAGTAAAAGAGTAAAAGAAATCTGTACATAATATTGAATGGACATTGCAAGATGTGACGAATCGTCACATTTTTCTGGCCTGTGGCAGAGGTACTATGCTGGCTTGCCGCATGGAACTCTGGGTAGGAGAGTGAGTTCTTTTTATCGGGATTTGAGTGAGAGACCTTCTTCTAAAGTTGTGGTCCTTATATATACACATTAGTAGGCATGAACGTTGTGGGTTAAATCCAAGTTTGAGGGTTACCACCCCAGTTTAGTAACCGGTCCATGAAGATCCGGGTAAGAATAGGTCTTCAGCAACCCATGCTTATCATAAGACTCAATTAACAGGATCGGGTGGTCAGGCTCGCTGCCTTGCTTGACACATGTCATAGTATCCCAATTACATAGATCGATGTTCATGCAGTTGATCACTGGATTGTCTGGTTCAGACGAAATTATTTACAGACATCCGCCATATAGCTGGAATACTGCCGAGTGCGGCGTTAAACAACAATCAAACCATCAATTAGTGACTGACAGACTTACTCAATCACTCAGTTTCCCAATCGATCACTCTCTGAACCTTTGATTAAGTCTAACCAGAACGGCATTACCTGCATAAGGATCCTTCCCTGACGTTGCAACCTCAAACATCAGCACACCAAAAGACCAAACGTCTGACTTGATGCTGAATTTCCTGTATACAATTCCCTCAGGAGCTGTCCACTTGATAGGTACACGGCTGCCTACATGGACACAGATCAGTGTGAAAACACTTGGTGAAAGTCACAAATTGTTGTTTCGAATGTAAACTCTACATTCCTAATTCTAATTTCTGATACATTCTGGAATTATCATGTGTTACAATCGTTAATGGAAAAATTACACACACACACACACACACACACACACACACACACACACACACACACACACACACACATGCCACTGAAAAACGGTGCAATTCTTGGTCTTGCTGATTAGACCTCAATATTGAGTTCACCATGAAAGAGCAGAGGTAAAGTTTTAGTCAGCACCGCTATTGCACCCCTTTTTTAGTTTACACATAAAGTGTGTGTGTGTGTGAGAGAGAGAGAGGGGGAGAGAGAGAGAGAGAGAGAGAGAGAGAGAGAGAGAGAGAGAGAGAGAGAGAGAGAGAGAGAGAGAGAGAGAGAGAGAGAGAAACCCATACATATATACGCACGCGCACATTGACCTGGCCGACACATGTCATCGTATCCCAGTTGCGTAGATCATGCTGTTGATAACTTGATCGTCTGGTTCAGACTGGAATATTGATGGACTATCGCCATATAGCTGGAATATTGATGGACTATCGCCATATAGCTGGAATATTGATGGACTATCGCCATATAGCTGGAATATTGATGGACTATCGCCATATAGCTGGAATATTGATGGACTATCGCCATATAGCTGGAATATTGCTGCGGCGGTAAACAACAAACCAATAAATAGAACAAATGACATGTTGCCAGTATGTTACCTTTTGAAAGATAATCAACGCCATCGTCAACGATCCTGGCTAGTCCAAAGTCGGCGACCTTGACATCGTAATGTTCCCCGACCAAGATGTTGCCAGCACGAAGGTCACGGTGGATGAAGTTGTGCGATTCTAGGAACGCCATTCCTTCTGCTATCTGTATTAAAAACGACTTATTGTATTGACTAACAGCCCGGTGTTTTTGTATGTTCATGGCAACAACTTATATTTACATTTGTGATAACTTTCAAGCAAAGACTCATCAGTAATTAGGCCGCATTTGCCTCATATGTTGCTTTTTCAAATACTTATGAAAGTGTAATAATATGTCAACTTCCGAACGAAAATCAAAAGTACTTTAGCTAAATTAAATGGCATTGGATGTACTCTGTTTCGCGAGATGTTTTGAGCTCACCTGCCTACACATGTGTATCATCATAGAATGTTCCAGCTTAGGACGGTCTGTTTTCCTGAGGAAGTCCAGTAGAGACCCGTTAGACATGTACTCAGTGACGAGCAGCACAGGTTCACAATCTGTGCATACTGCCAGAAGCTGAACCAGGCGGATATGACGTAATTGGTTCATTATTCTCGCCTCGGTCATGAATTCATCCACAGTCATCCTGCCAGGTTTTAACTTCTTAACTGCGATATCACGCTTTCCGTTCAGCGTTCCTAGAATGAAATATATTTTTCTCAGGGTCCGATCTAGAGTTCAAAACGTTACGTCCTACCGTATCCCTATACTTTATCATACTAGGCTTACGAATAGCTTATAGCTTCGAAGGTTTTGTTGATAGGGTACCCGGACTGGTATATGTCATGTCCATCGTCATACTCTTCAACAACAAGAATGTCGTTATTAATATCTGCTTTCGTAGTAAGGCAATCATTATTGCCATTTCATTTAGTTCTATCACTACTGTCATCAGATTCGTTTCAACATGGTAAAATTGCCCGGCAAATTACGCATATACATAAAAAGTGGGTTTGACCACAGGACTGAAATAAAATATGCTATCACAACGTTACTAGACTGAAAGTAGTCCCTCGAACATTGCATACTTAAAGTGACCGTTAATCCGAAGCACAACCATAATACCCATATAACAAAGTACTTCACCGTCAAATAACCAATTTCTTTTGTTTATAATGAAGTTTACATCAAGCTTGACAGTTGTCATCCATAATGTTGTAAGCTTCAATATTGACTCACCAACTTCTGGAATTATCTATACAAAAAAAGAACTTATGAAAATGAAACTGGTTGACAAAGCAGTATGTAGCCTTTGTAATGTTGATAGTGAAACTTTATGTCATATATATTGGGAATGTGTAACCCAAACCTTCTGGAAAGAACTTGAAAACTGGATAATCCAAAATATACAGAAATTTGAAATAACAAAGACCATGGTTAGGTTTGGAATTTTGGGTAATAAGCCATTACTAAATCATATAATCTTATCTGCTATAAAATATATATATACTTGCATTTTGAAGAAAATAATTCCAAAAGTTAATAATTTTTTTAAATTTTTGAAAGACATTTATACGGTTGAAAATTTCATATCCAGAAGGAACAATAAATCTGATAAATTTTCAGATAAATAGTTTCCTTTATTCTCAATATTTAAAGGTCACATGCAACCCAAAAATCAAACATAATTAAAACACCATTATCACTTATTCATGACATATAATATACATTGCTGGTTACGAAAAAATATATAAACAAAATTATAAGCGTACAATCGCAAATCGAAAGTGCAAAATTGTGAACTTCGGTTTACTTCCCGAGAAACGAAGCAGCCGGGATACCGAACCCAGTCAGAGCGGGTGGGTGTGCACTCAAGTGTAACGGCTGGTTCATTTGCAGATGCCTTCCCGGCTAATTGTGTGTATATATATATTGAGATGTTGGGTTTTGTAAATACATGCTCATTTTTTGTGTAAAACATTTTGCAATCAACAGACATCATAACATGTCATGTGTTCAAGTATCACACCTGCCTGTCTGTGTAATTACATAATGTGACAGAGACCGAACTCGGGTCATAAATCAATGCATTTTGTTTATGATGTATAGCCTGATTGGTGTTAAGTTCAAATTGCATGTGGTCAGTGATAGCAGCTGTGTATTGAATATTGTCATTAGCAGACAGGCAGGCAGACACACAGGTGTCAATGAAACAAGACATTGAGTTTTGTCTGTGACAACGACATATCTATATATTGAAATTCTGTCAACGCTAAATAATGACATTGCTTTTAAGTATCGAACTGAGAAAGTGACTCGGTAAGAAGAACGTGTGGTGAAATAGACAAATGAAATAATATAAACAGTTAATTTACTGTCATAACATATAAAAAGCTCGCGCCTGTGAAATATCAACAAAACATTAGAAAAATAGCTCACACCAAAGCCTTCACCGAGTATTCACCAGACAACCCGCTTCCAAGCTGCGCGAACCTATTTACTTGCGCACGTGCTATGAGCGCAGCCCAGCTGTTGAAACCCGTTTTCCCCAGAAAAGTCTGGGGAAAATTAGTGAAACGTTTGAACTCCGATTTCGCGCTTTTTTTTCATCGCGTTATTTTTCAACTTTATAAGTTGAATTTGCATTTTTGACGATTTGTTTCGGTATGTCCATACCGAAAGGTATCAGAATCTGTAAAGTTGTGTTTTACGTTGCATGTGACCTTTAATTTCTGACGTAATCTTTAATCAAAGGGGAATAATTTTACTGGAGTATATTCTCTCTATGCTATCAGTTGACCTAACATTTTTGTTGAACCTAATGAACTTTGATCAAGTATTTATGCATTTATTGCTTTACTTTATATGCTTGTACTCAATTATGGGAACAAACAAAAAGATTTTAAAAAAAAAATAAAAAAAACTTCTGGAATTCCGATCAAAGCATTTTTGACCATTTTATTCTTTTGCCCGAAGGTGTACGCCATTTGCTCAATTTTGACTTTTGAACACAGAGCACTCGGTATCAAACCATCACAATGATCATCCCCTTTGTATGTACCTTTCCAGACCTCGCCGAAGTAGCCAGATCCCAGCTTGACCGTCATGTCAATGTGACTTCTGTCCACCTCCATGTTACGAAGATGGACGACTGGAGCCATCCTTGGACATGGTTCCGTGAGGCGACACGCCAGCCCGTCTTCCCTCCCTGGCAATGTGTCAGAGCATGATCATACAGAATTCTTACCCAACTTTCTTTCTTGCTGTAATATTAAACAGTACGCATATGCATGCAGTTGGTGCCGATTTAAGATTTATAAAAATATTTGTGCATAAATGAATTAATTGTTAAATATTTGAATTAAATATCTTTAAGGAATGGGGAATGTTAGCAGATAGATTTCCGATGTCTTAATGTGTGTATTATACCGTTTACGCACATGTGGATGTTATAATTGTGTGGAACGTACGGTTTTCTCGAAGGAAAAATGGGTCCCTGCGTATTTCTCATTTGGTCATCGACCCGTAAAGATCCGGGTTAGAATTGATCTTCAGCAACCCATGCTTGTCGTAAGAGGCGACTAACGGGATCGGGTGGTCAGGCTCGCTGACTGGGTTGACACATGTCATCGCATCCCATTTGCGTAGATCGATGTTCATGCTGTTGATCCCCGGATTGTCTGGTCCAGATCCGATTATTTACAGCCCGCCGACATATAGCTGGAATATTGCTGAGTGCGGCGTAAAACACAACTCACTCACTCATTTGGTCATTATTTTGCGGCTGTATCAAACCTCGGATATCTCGAAGTGGGGACGTCCCACAGTGCATTTTCACTGTACTTACATATAGTGATATAGTATATTAAACCGAATGTGCATCTACCTCGGTGATGCGCTACAAGGGCGTGGATGCTGGAAAACATCTTTCGGATTCCAATGTACACCTGTCCGTTCGTCGCCGTCTGTATTTTATAGTGCTTGACAAAGGGGGATTCGGCGTTTCCGTGTTGCAGCCTCACAGACAGGGCATATGAGTCTGGTCCTGGAACAATTTACCAAGAATTTATATACCAGGTCAATTACAACCGTATATATAATAGTAAATGGTCTATTACCTGAAACAACAGATTCAGAGATACGAAAAAGCAGTTGAACAATGCAACAACAATACACTGTTCGTAAGGATGTGATAGATGCTCATCTATACTATCTAATGCCAGATTGTTAAAGCTACTGTTGCTTGACTGAAGGATGGCTTTTGTGGGGAACGTAATGCCATGTGTACTAACAACTCAAAAGCATTCACCTAAAACCTGATCAGTTTTGTCTTTCCTTTTTAGACTAAATCTGAACTATTCTTCAATTCAGTAAAACGTTGTTTCTCTGGAATTTTTAAAATGAATTTTGAGTTACTTAAGGTGTGATATATTTCGAAGGAGTCTCTTCAGATGTGGACTGCTGAGGTAGAGAAGTAGTACCCACCAATATGAGAGATATCTTTAGAATCACTATCGATAGTTAAAGATTAACAAAAGATGTATTATTATATGAGGGGAACAACGTTCGCCCCTCAGCTGGTCAGACTCACCCGCGGAGGGCCTGATGAGGAAACTACCAAGTACCACTTCTTTCTTCAACAACAGTGCCTCTGCATCATGGCGCCCCGCATCAAACCACCAACTAGAAGTATAACAACGTATGTTTCACACGGTCTGTCATACATGTACGAATGCATGCATATGTGAGAAAAATACGTAATTAACTGGACTGAGTCTGACGTCAGCGTCAGTGAAATATGAAAAAAGACAAATGATCGTATGTCATTGTCCCCAGAGCACATCCGTACACACACGCGTGCATGCACACACACGTACATCCATCCATACGTACCTACCTACAGGAACGCATGCACACACATACGCACACGCATACACACACATATACGCACAGACAGGCACACACACATATACACGCACACACATACATACACACACACACACATATATATATATATTATATGGCCAACTCAGAGTAATGTCCTGCTGCGGAAAACTACCATTCTACTTTTGCAGTGTTTTTCTCATAATTTGGTGACTGTGTATATATTGCGGTACCCGTGAAGATCCGGGGTAGAATAGGTCTTCAGCAAACCCATGTGCTTGCCATAAAAAGGCGACTATCTTGTCGTAAGAGGCGACTAACGGGATCGGGTGGTCAGTTTCGCTGACTTGGTTGACAAATGTCATCGGTTCCCAATTGCGCAGATCGATGCTCATGCTGTTGATCACTGGATTGTCTGGTCCAGACTCGATTATTTACAGACCGCCACCATATAGCTGGAATATTGCTGAGCGCGGCGTAAAACTAAACTCACTCACTCACTCACTCACTCACTCACTCACTCACTATATTGCGGAGCAGTAAAAGAATCAATGCTTATTTACCTCTCGCCATTGACTGACCGGCTTCTGTGGAGAAAGCATGTCAAAAGTATTATGTTTGAGGGTGAACATATAAGTGTACTGTATACTAGCAAGATTATTTCATTTTCAATATGTGGCATTTTCAATTTGTCGCTTCTCGTTATACATTTAAATATACTACATCATAACCGGGCAGCTGTGTACACATGGTTCCACAAATGGAAGCCCATGTTTTAATAATGTTAATAGTGTTAACGTTTTTAACAATACGTTTACAATAACTCAACTTTTAGCAGAGATTGTTTGTGAAGATTGAAAGGGTTTTGTCGCTATTACCTACCCCTGCTGGGCTTTTACAATCCTTGGGCATGGCGTGGTAAGGCGGCACACCAAACCGTCATCGTTGACTGTAAACACAATCGGTGAAGTAAATGTTTGCAAGCTATATGAACATAGAGAGTGTCAGTGAAAAGGTTGTGTCTCTACACGTATGTATGTAAAGCCTGTGCTAAACTGTCTGTAAAGTACTTGACTAACGCATATTTCTGAATAACATGTGACAGACGCATATGTCTGAATAACATGTGACAGACGCATATGTCTGAATAACATGTGACAGACGCATATGTCTGAATAACATGTGGCAAACGCATATGTCTGAATAACATGTGGCAAACGCATATGTCTGAATAACATGTGACAAACGCATATGTCTGAATAACATGTGACAGAAGCATATGTCTGAATAAACATATGTCACAATAACACGTGTCTTTAGTTATTTTTGCTTTCATACAACACTTGCCAAGAGTTTGTGTCAGCAAACCAAGCGACAAATGTATGCATCTACATCAAATATATTCAAATTCGAAATATGCGACAAAGCTTTCGAGTGAAGTATTCGTAAAATGACTCGTCAGTATCATGTTCTTGGCACAGAAGCACAGATCAATACCTTTCAATTGATAAATCCAGTATATGTGTTATTCAAAGTCACACCTTATACTTCAATATGGGGTATGCTATATAGAAAACGATATTTGAGCACACACCACTGCATGTTGAGGAGTAAGATTAACAAGTGAACCAGCGAAACATATGGAAATTAAACAAAATTGGAGTAAGCATGTCTCAGAAACAGCGAGTGAGTATGGTTTTACGCCGCTTTTAGCATTATTCCAGCAATATCACGGCGGGGGAAACCAGAAAAATGGGCTTCACCCATTGTACCCATATTGGGAATCAAACCCGGGCCTTTGGCGTGACGAGCGAAAGCTTTAACCACTGGGCTTCCACGCCGCCTCGCCTAAAACAGCATAAGGAATAGGAATGTGCAGCTTTGTGATGGTATTACCTTGATAATATGCTATAAGCATGTTGACTGTAGGAAACATCTTTCTGAGCCCGATGTACGTCTGCCCATCTTCTGACATGCGCAGTTTGTAATGTTTGACACATGGCGCCCCATCCCCTTCATGCCACCTCACACTTAATGTGTAGGAATTTGTGTCTTAAAGATGAAACATTTGATGGGGTTACACAAGGACATTCTTCTACCATCAGGAACATATGTTCTATAGCTATGGTGTGCAGCACCACCGATATACAGTAAACTGAGTGGAAGCTTTGTATCTGGATCGTAACAAGAGGGCCTACATTTGTATGTCGCCAACTTCCGATCAAACAATATAACCAGAATCAGTAGGTTGACCCTGTGCTGATTGTTAGCTTCTAGATGAGGATACCCTTACTTCTGTCGAACTGATTGCACCAGGTGGGTCAACCTTCGGCTATCGTGAAGCTGCATAAGAATCCCAAATAGAAACAGACCTGTACTAAATGCAGTTAATAATATTTAGCAAGTAAGTGACAAAAATGGCAAAACGATAATCATTATATTCTGCCAACAGGTCAACTGACAACATGATTACGGGGCGCAGATATACTACTCACACTTTGCTAAGGATCACAATAATTCCCAGCTTTACTTAAATATAGATTTATAATTTGAAATTGTATCCATTTAAAGCATGATACATATTGATATGGTAACCCCTCTTTAGGCTAACAGCCACTTTAATGTAACCTTATGCACTTGATACATGAGTAACATCAAAATGGTTTTCATGGCACCAATCAACCATTTTGCAAATCATGGAACGAGTCATTAACAAGTACACAACACCTGTCAATAGCAGGTATGGGATCCACAAGATGCAGTGACATACTGAAACCTAGGATCCATGCTTACAATAAGCTTAGATATTTAAACCAAATTAGACCCCACATAATATTTTTCGTTGAATCAATGATTTGATCCTTAGCAAAGTGTGAATAGTATATATATATATATAGAACTATAAAGTGTAATTTATTGCCTTCGAAGTTATGTCTACACTCAAACGCTTTATTACTTATGAAGAAAGAAAATGTAAAACAACTGCAAAATGAACGTCAAGTGACGTATTATGGCAGTGCTCCTACCTGACGTTGGTCTGACCAGAAAGGTGCCATCAGTCAAACCCTCCTTCAACAGTCTCTGCTCCCCTCTCTCCCGTGTACAGGCAAACCACCAGCTGCAACACAAATGAGAAAGCCCCACTAACTTGGTGCGCCTTGTGGCTGCACGGGTTGCATGATCCCCAGTGAGTTGAGATTGAAAATACGATGTGCCGTTGCCATTGGCATCCAATGATAGAGGGAAGAACAAAGCGCCTTTGAGCAGCTCAGCTGGATATTGGCGCTATACAAATATTAGTCTGATGATGAACATACATTCATAAATGTGTACCACCAGCAGCAACACGCATCCATGTATTCATGTATTTGTAGAGGTGAACCGCCACCTGAATACACATACGAGAACACAGGTCGTTCGTCTTGCACTACGACTGACTGACTGACTGAATTTGGTTTTACGCCGCTTTTAGCAATATTCCAGCAACATCACGGCGGGGGACACCAGAAATGGGCTTCACAAATTGTACCCATGTGGGGATTCGAACCCGGGTCTTCGGCGTGACGAGCCAACGCTTTAACCACTAGTCTACCCCACCGCCCCCTTGAACTACGATATGTATAATGATCTAACATACCAGTTTCCGACAAAGACGCACGAAAGAAATAAATGTATTATCTTTCTGAATATTGACTGTCTCTATATAACTTATTTTCTAAGAGAGACATACATTTTTCAGTTGAGTGATTGAGTCGGTTCGTTTTACGCCGCTTTTAGCAATTTTCCAGCAATATCACGGCGGGGGACACCAGAAATGCGCTCCACACATTGTGCCAATATGAGGAATCGAACCCAGATCTTCGACGTGACGAGCGAACACTTTAACCACTAGGCTACCCCCACCGCCCCTTTTTCAGTTCAACACCCTGAAGATAATTTGATTGTTGTGTGTTGTACTTAAAGAAGTTTATGTCTCTTCATTCATAACATATGAATAAAGTAAAATGGTTCAAAGCACGTCTTCGCTTTGAAACGTATGTCTGTGCTGAATGCAAAAACTGAAATTACCAATTTGCATATTTATATCTAACGTTAGTAAGTATAAATGATGTTGAAACACGTACACTTGAGTCTCTGGAGAGTTGTTTTCAACCTTCATATAGTTGGTCGGGATGTACCCGACTTCATCATTTGTCAGGTTGACACATACCACCCAGTCAGATGTCTCGCTGTGTATGGACGAAAGAAAGATGGATTAGTATCGTGTTTTTGTGGGCAGAGATTTCTTATGAAAGGTGGAAAGGGTTTTGTCGCTTCTATTTGAGGCGGTTTCTTTACAGACCGGTGTCACGTGGCAGGTGTATTGCTCGATGTGGCGCACGGCAACAAACACACGTGAATAAAGCTAATTGTGTCGAATGCTGAAAGTAGGGTAGAGCATGTCTAGCCTTTTCGCTAACACCCGATGTCGACAGAGATTTAAGTGATCCAATCATGTGATTTTTACTGTTTCTGTGGGTCATCGAAACTTGCTATTCTCTCGCGTTAATGCGTTTATAGTTCAGGGTGCCGTTGTACAAAAGAACCTTAGCGCTAAGACTACCTTAAGTCTATGTTAAGGTATGGGAGCTACGGTCACCTTAGCGCTAAGATTGCTTTGTACAACGGCACCCTGAAGTTACAAACGTATATCAAGCAATTTGATTTAACCATGTAACATGAGGGTTATAGTTATTGCCGAACGTTTTCATGGACAAAGGAAAATAGTTGAGCGCCAACAATTTCAATATATCGTCATGTTCACTATTACGTTTGTTTATACCATAGTCTTATGCAGAATCTAGTTAAACATGGTTCTGTTACTGTGACTGGTATCATATGTAGATATGTGTCAACTTACTCAGCGTCCACTTTCCTGAGTCTGTCCCCCTTCTTGAATGACAAGTCATCTACGTAACTTCCTTCAAAGTCGTACAAGGCAAGGTAGATAACTGGTGCTAGAATCCATAATCAATGAATGACAGAAAGGTTTATTTTATATACACATGTATGCAAGGGCCATGGTTTGAATAAGCCGTTGCTTACATTAGATCACGTCCCATACAATGCAATAAATTAAGAATCGCTTCTGTCAGTGAATGAATATTACTTAACGCTACATCAGACATTTTGCAGCTATTCACCGCGATGAGTTGCTTATGTACCTCTTCGTTAACGTAAGCAAAAGTACAGATTATCTTCATATTAATTACTTGTATGAAATATATTAGGGGATTCCCCTACGTCTCCTCGGGGCTATAAATAACCGAGTTACTCGATCTGTTATTAGGTCTTTGGAGTTTCTATAGTTAACAAAGGCCCATAGATAAGTTTTAACAGTCATTGTCACGATTGGCCCACCAACGAGACCCCCTACTGACAACAGCACATCATAAACGAAAACTAGGTGTGAAAAACGGAACTCATGCTCTGCCTACACCCAATCACAGGTGAATGAATATGTCACTTGACCAAACGTTTGGTCAAAGCTGATCATTATGTTTCAGAGGCAATTGGACCAAGTAGTTAATATGTTTACACTATATATTGTATCATCATTAGATTTAATGTGAATCAGGGTTGTCTTTTTTTCAAACCACACAATAACACTTGGCTTCATTCACGCCAATTCAATACAAATCAATTGCATTCACGTCTCATTCACCTCATTACAATTAAACAATACTGAAATTGATAAAGAAATAATAATCTGCACAGTTTGAACATTTCATTCACTACGATTTCACGTTAACCGCTACAAAAGTCATAGGATGTTGTATTTCTGAAAATATTTTCTCACCCGTTGAATTGTGTGCCTGTGAACATCCCGTCAACGGCATTTTGAGCAATTAATCAAATAAGGTGAACTTCTGATGACCACAGACACTTCCGACCCTTCGCATAACCGACTCAGATCTGTCCACCGGAGTATGTTGGAACTCCAACACATATGTAGACTTGAACATTGAAACAGGACCCTATATCGTCGTCTATTTACCAGCTCACCGTGTTCGCAAAAGGATCTAGCTTCTCACTGTGGCTTACTGTTTCCGAGCACAGTTATTGCTAATGGTCTGTTCATACATTCATACGAGAGCCCACGCTGTGCATGAGTACAGCTGAACAACGTGAACTCCGAGGAATACGTACAGTTCAAAGGCCATTGTGCAACTCGAATGGAGTTCACTTCAATTATGGCTGCTGCGTAAAACGTCACTTTTATTGACAGAAAGGTAAACATGTTTGTCTCGGGGAGTCACTGACGTCACTCACTTGCCGTATGTCTCTTGATTGACGCTGAAAGCCTCTCTTATGAATAGCCAAGCTACATAACAGCGGTTTGTCAGCAATGGAGTATGGATCAGACACACCTAGTATTGATACTTCGTATCATCAGCATTGTCTCGTGCTGTCTGTGTAGGGCATGCATAAGTTGTTGGGACTAAAGGTGAAGCAGGACACCATTAGTTATTTTCCCGCAGTTGCAGGTCCATTTACGGAGGTATAATCATGGGCTGACTTTCTAAAGATTGATAAAATATCACAAGTCAAGTCATGTGCGACAGACATTCCTCGTACGTATGTTTGTATTGAGGGGGATATTTCTGTTATCACGGTATGCAACCCTTATCACAAACCAGGGTACGCCTTAGGCATCAACTGAATAGATATATTCTTTTCTCTGTATGGTGTTGTATTCATGGATCATATACATCGCAACACTGGAAGCTGTGGGGTATTCCCCAATCTACAATTTAACATTTTCCTTCCATTGTTGGTACGGGTCTCTCTCAGTTCATCTCAAATCTAAAATAGACAAAATTGTTAACACTGCAAGTAAAATCGCTGGAGTCAGATTTGAATGACATGGAGTTCAGCTGCGCATATATCTTTACAGGTGTGAACTCTGTTATATGCCCAATACCATTATTGATGTTCACCTGTCCAGCTTTCAGGGAATTCAAAAGTAACTTCTAAATCATATTTTGAGTTCTATCGACAAACAATCGCGTCTATACTCAATCTTGTTGGTTGTTTCGGTTTGAACTCTAATGTTAGAATGCGAGTTAAAGTTATTTGTTGTGTGATGGGGCTCTTCTGGATGTTCCAGAGCAGAATATGACACCTTTACACTATAAATTACACAAGAAATAGGGTAACATTGTTACTACTTTATAAAACCTAGATTATGTAAGACATTTCTGATGCCAGCAACCAGTGATCCAGACTCGTTTATTGACAAGTATGTGAGGTGTTGATGGCAATTTGTTGCTGTGTTGCTGTGGCGTAAAGCAATACACACTCATCATACCTAAAGGTCTTTGCTAAATTTAATTTTCAAAAAGGTATCCCTGTTTATAATAGTATTTTTACTCCACATGAATTTATAATGTGCACAGTGTCTGGTCTCCTAGACAACTCACTGACATAGGATAGACGGGGAAATAAGACAATTCAAAGAATTTGAAAAATCACTTTATTTCAAAATGTATATTTGGAAAGGGTTTGCCATCAGTGGGATTTTGCAACCAGCAAAATATCATAAAATAAAACAATTAACAGAAATTCAACATAACTACTCTGTCTAATAAAATGACTAACACACACACACACACGCACACATACATATATATACATATATATTTATTTTGGTAAAGCTCACGAGCACGAGCAATATAGTCCATGGTCATCGAATCAGATATGTCTTCAGCGAATATCCATTTCTTAAATGTTTCACTCTTAGCCACTGTCAGACATGTAAATAGTCGAATCTGGACGAGAACCTTCATAGATCGACGTAACTAGAATACTGATACATGCATTCACCCGATCCCTTAAGTCACATCTGACTACAAGCATGAGACCAACTCTAACCCGGATCTTCCCGGGTCTGCACTAAACGTATAACTAGACATTTGCATGCACTGCGGTTATATAGTCACTTCATAACACTCTACTGATGGCAAGCTAAATTTCAATCTACAGGTAAGATCACTGTCACTATAATAACAAACCAATTTACATTTCGTGTACGGTATATTTTGTATACGAACGTTTCTGATATCTCATCAAAACGAACATCCTCGATTAATTTGTCATTTGTAAATTATACATCAATGATGGGTCAATATGCGCATTGAGATTAAAATGTAACATTTATTCAACACGCAGCAATATGATATTGGACCTGTGAAATCAAACGTTATTTCAAATTATGGATTATTTTGTTCCCAGAAAGGAAAAAGTAATGTATTACCACAAGGCAGTCAGTATTAGAACAACCTGAAAGACATACTTATAGTTCCGGTATACTTGCTATATGACGTGACTAAAGGGGTCGGCGGGTCAGGTTAACTGACGTGGTTGTGCATGTTATCGTATCGCAACTGAGTAGACGTCATGACGCCAATCACTGGATTGTCTGATCGGTCTCATATAGCTAGACTATACCTGACTGTGGCGTTAAACAACAAAAACAAACAAAGCATATCTTTTGCAAGGAAGAGTGTCAAAGATCTTGCTTCAATAATGTCATCATTTTAAAAAGTATCACAAGAACACGCCAGATTGTTTTTACAAGTGCTCCAGTTGCTTTTGTAGATGGACGAATGAGGGCCTGTCCGACGGACTGGTGTTCCAGCACTGTTGTATGATGTTGTAGTATGGATCGAGCTGCTCCGGAAGCCAGTGTGTTTGGGGTTTAGGCAGGCGATACCCCTGTTCAATCTCACGAAATACCTTGTGCAGATCCCCAACTGAAGAAAAGAGTGAATCGTAACGACGTGGTTAGTTTAATTCATACTACTATGGTGAAGCTCACGAGCATGGTTATTATGCTGATCCTGCGATGTGATGGGTATTATGGCAGGATCCTGGCTGCCCAAGGGGAACTACTCTAACCAGTGAATATTACAGCGCCTTAACGACTGGGCTACCAGTCTGCACCCCTTCCAAATATAAAAGCCAACGCCAGGAAATTACCGGATTCGATTATATGCCCAAACAGATGTATTGTTTGTAAGAGGCAAATGAGGCAAAAAACGTATATGAATGTACCACTGGAAGTCAGCGATGACACCATGTGTCCGTGCATAAGTGCACCAGGTGTCCGTGCATATTTACACCAGGTGTAGGTTGCCTGTGACTTCCATGAATGTCACTGGCTAAATTTGTTATTGTAGACGGCCAAGAGTTAGAGTAGCGATAGCATTCAGATACAAGAACTTTGAAAAATGAAGGATCATGTTATTATTCACATGGTCAATGAACTGTTGCAGACAGACACAACTTTCTCCCACATGTGCAGAATAAAATAGCCGACTTTAAGTTATGACTGAAGTAGTTCACGGTCTGTAGCAAAGGGCATTCGTGTCAACCAATATTCCATGGCGTCCACATTTCATGTTTAAGGTACAATCGAGCTCTTTCTAAGACTTGAAAGAGCGTCATACGATTCAAATGCTGAATGGTCAGGTTACATCATTCTAGGCCTGTGTAAACTTTCAAAAGGTTTTCAAAAGGACATTTCAAAGTTAACAAAAAAGAAAGTTATGGATTTCAAATTATTTATTATCGCTGACGGAGCAAGCATATACCCCTACACATGTTGTTCCTTAAGTTATAATAAAGGAAGAAAGGTCTATAAATCTATATCCCGTATATGTATCACTTCTAATTGCCTTAACAAACTATAGAGCGTGTTTCCTCTGACCCACAACTGATTCTATGCGTGACTTACTTGGACTGTAGGGTATGATCCCTGATGAGGCTATTTCGTACATCAGGACACCAAATGACCACACGTCCGACTTGACACTTCGCCTCTTGTATAAAGCAACCTCGGGCGCCATCCATTTATTGAGAGACCAGTCATCTATATCACATCCATATCCGTGTTACTCAAACCATTGATGGTATGCATGAACAGTTAAAAGTTAGTCGCTTATTCTAATCTCAAAAAGTAAAAAGGAGGCAACTTCGGCTGAATACATTTAATGCTATTTTTTAAATATTGTTACCTATTTGTTATGCAATAAAGTCTTGTTATCCCTATATCACCAACTTCATCCATAAAGTCTTGTCATCTCTATATCACCAACGTCATCCATAAAGTCTTGTCATGTCTATACCACCAACTTCATCCATAAAGTCGTCATCTCTATACCTCCAATTTCATCCATAACGTCTTGTCATCCCTATACCACAAACGTCATCCCTAAAGTCTTGTCATCCCTATACCACCAACTTCATCCCTAAGGTCTTGTCATCCCTATGCCACCAACTTCATCCATAAAGTCTTGTCATCTCTATCCCACCAATTTAATCCATAAAGTCTTATCATCTCTAAACCACCAACTTCATCCATAAAGTCGTCATCTCTATACCACCAATTTCATCCATAAAATCTTGTCATCTCTACCACCAATTTCATCCATAAAGTCTTATCATCTCTATACCACCAACTTCATCCATAAAGTCGTCATCTCTATACCACCAACTTCATCCATAACGTCTTGTCATCCCTATACCACCAACGTCATCCATAAAGTCCTGTCATCTCTATACCACCAACTTCATCCATTAAGTCTTGTCATCCCTATACCACCAACTTCGTCCATAAAGTCTTGTCATCCCTATACCGCCAATTTCATCCATAAAGTCTTGTCATCCCTATACCATCAATTTCATCCATAACGTCTTGTCATCCCTATACCACAAACGTCATCCCCAAAGACGAGTCATCCCTATACCACCAACTTCATCCATAAAGTCTTGTCATCTCTATACCACCAACTTCATCCATAAAGTCTTGTCATCCCTATACCACCAACTTCATCCATAAAGTCTTGTCATCTCTATACCACCAACTTCATCCATAAAGTCTTGTCATCCCTATACCACCAACTTCTAGAATGCCACTCAAACAAGTCATCTTTCTGTCCGCCATACCTCCATCCACCCACTCCTGGCTGTCATACGTTCCTTGCCACGCATTTGTGATCTTGACAGTGTGGTGTTCTCCCATTAATATGTTAGATGACTGCAGGTTTCCATGGATGAAGGATCTGAATTCCAGGAACGCCATTCCTTCTGCAATCTATATAACACAAAACACATTACTATAGTGTACAGGCAAGGTTATGGGGTACATATGTTACTGTTTCTCTCTTTCTTGGCCAGCTCCATGCAGGTAGCAAAAGCAATGTAAGTCCCCATGGTTCCTAGTATGGTGATCTACCTTCAGATGCTGGCGATCTATAGCCCGTGTTTTATATTGTATTGTCTTCTTTAATTACACAGTTTTAGTTTTACATGCTAGTTTTATGTTCAAATCTGTGATACTCTAGTATTTTTACTGTCCATCGTCGACAGGTTTAACTCTTCACAAGGTTTTCATTTTTGTATTATATAAATTGTTTTCGTCACGATATGGCTGAGATATTGCCGATGTGACGTAAAATATTAACTCACTCACTCTCTCTTTCTGGGCCAGTTGGTTTTCACTCCACAGTATTTCAGGTACATCACTGTGTCGTGTAATACAGGATAGGTGGTACAAAGCGTTCCAATATTATTAATGTCGGTCCGTAGGCCCGTAGCCGACTGAAAAAAAAACTCGGACACACAGCTTTTGTTTTCTGCAGGTCTTTGTGTGCGACAGTTTTTTCATCCCCAATAACTATTATTTCTCAGAAAATATCATTCAGTAATTTTTAGTTTTTATCTCGACCAGTAGCTGTTGTCTGTAAGTGAAGCAATTAAAATTACAGACTTTTCAGAAGACTTGGATCTTGACATGGATGTTGATTTTGTTGTAAAGACTAGTCAATCAATAGAGTTAAATTAAACTCTTTAACTCCGTTTGTAAGCTGTCACAATTTTTTGCTTGTGGGAATTACGTATCTTGTGGCTAAAATAAAGAGCCAACACATTCTGATCAGGACCCACAACTTTTAATGGTTCTGGGGCCTTAGGCCCTGCAGCTTTTCAGGGTTAAGGGCAAAAACTGGTGGTACAGGTCTTTTATGAAACTTGAGATAATGTGTATGACGTTGATATACCAACGGTATAGACTGCGATGCCTTAATCCAGGGAGTCAGTTTCTCCACTGCCTGTATACATACGTATACACTGTACATTTCGCTAATATTGAATTAATCTACTCGTGATTCACAGCAAATGGATGATGCTTTTCTTTTTGTGATGGTGAGCCCATTTACCATACACACATGTTTTGTGGACCCATATTTTATACCTACCCTACGAAAGATTGTACCAATTATTGAGTTATTAGACAACTTGTCTTGTCTCTCAAAAACATATCTTCCCTGTGCGTATCAAACTATGGAGTCTATTGTCTTCGTTGCGTAAGAAAATTGCACCCACGCATTTGATAATAACATTTTCGAAAGACTTTTCACGAGTAGCTTGTCAGTACCAAATCCTATAAGGAAACAATACTGTTTCATGTTGATAACATTTGTGGAAATCTGTTACAAAATCTCCTCACCTGCTGACACATGCTTTTCACCATGTTGAACTCCAAGTGAGGACAGTCTGTTTTCCTGAGGAAGTCATGTAGAGATCCGTTATTCATGTACTCCATGATGAGAAGCACAGGCTCACAGTCTGTACACACAGCCAGAGGCTGGACCAGGCGGACGTGACGGAGTGATTCCATTATCAAATACTCAGTGTTAATAATGTCCCCAGATGTCATCTCCTTCGCCGCAACATCCAGTTTACCGTACAGCGTTCCTGAAGATGTGTGTTTGTTTTCTTAACAGTTTCACAGTATTTGTATTTTTACCAGCAGTATTAGTAGATTACCCGCAAAGATTAGGGTTAGAATTTGTCTTCAGCAACTCATGCTTGACGTAAGAGGCAACTATAGGGATCGTGTGGTCAGGCTCGCTAGCTTGGTTGACACATGCCATGGTATCCCTGCATAGATTGATGCTCATGATGTTGATCACTGGATTGTAAGGTTCAGACTCGAGTATTTACAGACCACCGTCATATAGCTGAATATTGCTGACTGCGGCGTTGAACAATCAGAAGATGCTTACACTGTCCTTATAGTGACAGTATGTGCATGCATAATTAATTCCTTTATTTGTTTCTATCTAAAATAAAGTCACTTTCAGTAGAACTATTTCCTTTAGTAGAGCATAAATTAGCAGACATATAAGTGCATGATAAGCAGCTAAGATCGTCAGTTACTCCACCTCGCCAGACATCCTTTGCCAGGGCGTCACTCAACTGGATGGTCCCTCTGTTTACCTTCATATTACGAAGATGTCTAATAGGCGGCATCCTCGGACAAGGAACGGTCAAAAGACACTTCATGCCATCTTGATGTTCTGTAACCATCGTAGGAAGTTAACTATTAATTTACCACTGATACCATCTTGTCCTCAATCTTGTCCTCACAAAACATAAGAAATGACATCTATGAAAGTTTAAACTATACGGGTTGACTATTGTACTACATTTTATCTGTGGTAGTACATACAAGTTTAGCTAAGATATTATACAGAACTAAAAATATTAAGGAAAAGGTTAATCCACTTCCGATATTTTCGGCTTATTAGACAAGTTATACATTCAATTCGATTTAATTGAAATGAAACCATACGTGCTTTCCTAGAATCCAACTGATACAATCAAGTTTGTGTATTGTACATTGCTGTTATAATTTAACATTTAACAGAACACAGAAATTGCTTTTAAGTGCAAATGTTATTGGTTGGTTCCAGATCTGACCACTGTGTAGTCCAATTTTACCTTGTCGTTAAGTATCATGAATTGTCAAGTTCACGGGTCGTCAAATTCTAATAGAATCACTTGGAACCAGGTGATTGTTATTTTCTACTACGCCTTCATCTAACGTACTCATCCTTTGAAATTAAACCAGAGGGCTCAGTTAAAGAAAAACTGATCTACCTGAAAAGACATAATGACCAATAAGAGTTGTCGTCTTCCATACTCTATTCATCATAGCTGTTTCTTCGTTGACGTACCTTTATAATGTGCCAAAAACGTGCTGAGATCAGGGAACACCTTCCTAGCTGATACATATACCTCTCCGTTATCCGCCTGACGTATCTTGTAATGAAATACAGACTGGGTCTTTCCAGCCTCTTTCAGATACTTAACTGACAAGACGTTGTGGCTCTCTGGAAACCAGGATTCAATAACTTAAACATTTCATGTAATTTTTCAATGAATATATCAACCATCATCTTAAGTCTTTTCGCGTTACAAAAAAGCTTTCTTTGATAACTTTGTGGGAGAGGCTTAAAACGGTCAGCAGTATGTTCAGAACTGTTCAAAAGACACCTCCCACAACGGCGACCACGTCCCGATCATTCAGTATAAAATGACATTCGAAAGGTAAATATTGATACACTACCATGCCATCTGTTTCTACCTGCTAGTTTTATAATGCGGTTGTAACAATGTTCAAAAGATTTCTTCTTCCTCAAATAAGTACTTTACATATAACAAGATGCGCCAATGTAATCCAGAGTCACGTGACGCTTTCTTGTGGTTTAATCTGATCTAATTGAGAATCGTTACCAGCAACTGTCATATTTAATAATAATAATAATATGCTGGACTGTTATAGACCCTATATTATTATTGTTATAAACATTAATTCAAATGTATTCCATTTTCTAAAGCATGATACTCACGGCTGATTGACCTCCTGACGAGGAAACTTCCATTGGGCACCTTGTATCTCATCAGTAATGCCTCAGCCTCGCCCCTGCCACAGTGAAACCACCAACTGAAACTTATTCATATTAACTCCATTTGAAAAGCTTCGAAATGTTCACGACTTTTCATAATACTTCGTTTTATCAAAATGGCTTGATGCTAGCAGAACGTTTAGATTTACGGCTTTGTCTGACCCCTCAAGTACTTTTATGATGAAGCAGGAATCGATGTTCAAGAAGCATGGAACTATTACCACAAGCAGTGGATCAGTAATCCTGTATATACACATGTATATCTCCGGGTTGGCATTTAGAGGATGTGGATCAACCAATCCCTATATCTCCAGCCTGAAATTTCGATGTTATGAATCAGTGTGGATTAAGATTGTACTCGCGGCTTCAGGGACGCCATACAACAGAGCCTACACGGCAAAAGGAATATTCATAGACTTTATATTTTTTATGCCGTAACCAATAATTTAAAATAGCAAATGGTTCGCGCCTACTTACTCGTCATCATTGGGAGACATATCAGTAGGTTGGACGTACTCGGTCGGAACGTATCCTTCATTCCCGTTGCTCATGTTGATGCAAACAACCCACTCGGATCTGTCACTGACAAAATGATTGAAAGAGTAGTCCCTTGTGAGACAGATCTACATCAAGGTGAAGGCATTCCACAATGTTGAATACAATAGTACTTTTCTGGTAATGACACCGGACGGGGGCAAAATATAGCTGCTTTGTGTATATGTTCATCATTTTTGGAGTTTAAAGACGCATACTAGTTTAACGGTATCACATATTTGGTGTCAGTATCTAGAGATATGTCACAATAGTGACATGGCACGACGTCAACGTGACTTACAACTAGGTCATCAACACACAAAGAATACGGAAGTCCCAAAACATTCAAAATCAATTAAATCTTTCCACAATTTTAATCGTAGAATATGCGTATTTTTAAAGTATGGCTAAATTCTTCTAAATTGCTAACAACTGAAGGGATGATGTAAATCCAGCTGGGGCCTATGCAGGAAGCAAATGTACTGTAAGTCCCCATGGTCCCCAGTATGGTGATCTACCTTCAGTTGTTGGCAATATGTAGCCTGTTTTTATATTGTATTGTCTTCTATAGTTAAAAGCTTTTAGTTTTTCATACTTGTTTTATATCTATATCTGTGATGCTTTAGTTGTTTTACTGTCCTTCGTTGACACGGTTTTTATAATTTGACTTTATTTATTACGGCTTTATTTATTATGCAAATCCTCGTCACGATATGGTTGCAATATTGCCTATGTGACGTTAAATTGAACTCACTCACTCAAAACACAAAGCGCCCACGCCAGAAAATAGCCAGTCTCATTTATCCAAAGAAACGAATTTCATTAGGCGTGAAAGGAAACATCAGCGGTGAAAATATACCCGACTGAGGGAATGAAGTCATCTGCTTCCATGACAACGGATCCGTACCCATGGGTGCTTTTCTTTACCACTATGGTGAAACCTACCAATCTTGCATTTGAACCACAGACACTGTATACTGGACAAAACATGACAGTGTTTCACCAAACCCAAGTTATAAAAGTTGAGGTTGCATTGTCTGTCAAGGTATGCTAACCCAGGGTCTTCTTTCTTGAGGAGGTCTCCTTGACTGAATGACAGGTCGCCATCTTCAACTCCATTGAAGTCGTAGATCGCCCGTAAGATAACATGCTCTAAATCGAAATCAATGAAATAACATATAAATTTGAAGTTTGTTTCATCCACACATCCCACAATTTACTTCTCGATGCTAAATAATGAACAGAAATGCATCATGATAATCAGTTGATATTATAAGGGTAATGCTATTTTTGAGGGCACTATCATTTGCAGAACCCCGAGGTCTTCCATTAACTGCCCGACGATGGACCAGTCTATAATTGTTTTATTATGTAATTACCGAAAAAAAGCTTCTAAAATCGAAAACATGTCCATTTAGTCAAGAAAAGTAATTGTATTTTCACTAAAAACCATTATAGCTAAAATACATGGAATTATCATGAAACGGCCCTCCCATTATCAGAAATTTGCGGGCCGCTGCAAATGATATTGGACCGCTCAACCTTAACGACGGGCCACTATCAGTTCTGTTGTCAAGTGACGTCATATTGGATGCGTTAGCTTACGGTTCATTCGACATTAATTTGCTTTCGACTGGCAGATATTCTGGGTCAAACAAGTCAAAGCAACCCGAATTAGCGCTTTAAATAACGGTAATATTGGCTTTCTTGTTGGTGCTAACCTTAACAATTGCCCTATTAAGGCTGTTGATGGACCAAAACCGAACACTGACATAGTTTGACATGTTGAAGGTTATGGTCTTGTCAAAGGCCAAGGTCGAATATCGTCACTTTCTGTTCTGACGTCACTTCAATTGTTCGATGACGTAATTGTATTCGGGCAGTCAACCCCGTCAGAAGTTGATTTGGGTAAATTTACAGTCAAATTCCTTCATTGTTTCCTTTTTCTTTTCAACACAAATTCCATGTATTTTAGCAATAATAACGGTAATGCTATTTTTGAGGGCATTATGATTTGCAGAAGCCCTCGGTCTTTTTCAACTGTTTCGGCCGTTTCATGATAATTCCATGTAATTTAGCTATAATATAAGGGTAATGCTATTTTTGAGGGCATTATCATTTGCAGAAGCCCGAGGTCTTCCATTAACTGCCCGACGAAGAAGGGCAGTTGAAAAAGACCGAGGGCTTCTGCAAATGATAATGCCCACAAAAATAGCATTACCGTTATTATTGCTAAAATACATGGAATTTGTCAGGCTTCTGCAAATGATGATGCCCTCAAAAATAGCATTACCGTTATTATAGCCAAAATACATGGAATTATCATGAAACGGACCTCCTATTATCAGAAATTTGCGGGCCGCTGCAAATGATATTGGACCGCTCAACATTAACGACGGGCCACTATCAGTTCTGTTGTGTTCTGTTCCATTGGAAGACCTCAGGCTTCTGCAAATCATAATGCCCTCAAAAATAGGAAGACCTCAGGCTTCTGCAAATCATAATGCCCTCAAAAATAGCATTACCCTTATAATAACGTTTTATTATGCAAGCATATTTTTTCCGGCTACCTGGTTGGTCTAGAGGCGGTCACGTGACCGTCGACAGAAAAGCATATTGACTCCAACCCAGGTCCGACCAAAAGTCATATTGACCTGAGTTACTATGACGTCAAGCTATGAAGTCATTCGCGTCAAGCTATGACGTCATTTTATTGTTTACATGTCACAGTATTGTTGACATAACGTTATCGGTTTGTAGTGAAAATAAAATTACTTTTCTTGACTAAATGGACATGTTTTCGATTTTAGAAGCTTTTTTTCGGTAATTACATAATAAAACAATTATAGACTGGCGAATTCGGTCAATACCTGTTCTTATGGACCCGCGAAAAGCAATATTGACCTCGGACTTTGTCCTCGGTCAATATTGCTTTCGCGGGTCCATAAAAACAGGTATTGACCTCATCACCAGTCTATAATTGTATAATGTCAACAATACTGCGACATGTAAACAATAGAATGACGTCATAGCTTGACGTCATAGTAACTCAGGTCAATATGACTTTTGGTCGGACCTGGGTTGGAGTCAATATGCTTTTCAGTCGACGGTCACGTCTACGCCTCTAGACCAATCAGGTAGCCAGAAAAGTATGCTTGCATAAAAAAAGATGTTTTAGATAATGATAATGCATGACATATATGTAGAAGCGTCACCCACCCGTTCCTTAAGATATTACTCCTGCACCTTCACGGTGAAATGTTACAATCTCTGCAGGTAACGGTATTGTAACGGTCATCATGACCTTAGTCTGAGAGGTGTTACCTACAAGGGACAGTATTCTTTCTCGCGGTGTCACCACGTGATAATAGTATTAGTACTTTGTGACATATACTACTCAAAGATGTTAAAGATAACCCTATTATTTCATATTACCATAACAGTTCGCCTGTGCCTTAAGCCTTTTTGTAGTATGTGATCTATACTAACTTAAAGAAATATTGATAAAGGAGACCCAATTCTTTCATATTACGTTGACATCCTGTTATTTAAGGGGTTTTTGTGTTATTCAGTTAATACTCACCCAAAGAAATTAAAGAACACCTTATTCGTTCATATTAACACAGTTAATATGTTCTTTAAATATGTTTCTACATTTTTTTTTATTAGTTTGATGCAAACTTAATGTTAGTGGCATAATTACTAATAGATCTATCCCTTTGCATTGTATTATATGTTATTGAGCAGACTGGGGCGCTTAACTCACAATGTACAACGCTCAAATAATAGAGAGGTCTCAGCATGGTATGCGTTAGACTAACAACTAGTCTCTGAAATGAACATATTTTACTGAAAAAAGTTCATAGTAAAAAAATATAAAATATAATGAAAAGGAGCCCTGAAGCTGAGGAAATCTAGACTTGCCACATTTTCTAGACTTGTGTGGGCTTTCTTGGATATATTTGCTTCAGGGTCTGTGCGACAGACTAGGTATGCGTATATGACACTGCTTGTTATATTTACCTGCTTTAGGCCTAGGATGGTACGTGATAGAAACCAGTTCGGGCTGGGATGTTGACTCTTCACAACAACAAAACGGTATATAAAAACAGCAACGAGGTTCCATGAAGCCGGAGAGAGTGCTGTCACTGTGCCAGTGCGTCTCACTAACACTGTGTGACTTTCACCGACCCGGAACATAACTCTCACTACAAACCTGGGTACGCTTCAGTGCATTTACTGACCTCGATCTACGCCAGTGTGGCAATAGCCTCGCATATTTCAATACATTGAACAGCCAAACCAATGGGTTACCCGGTGTGACGAACGCATGTTTCCTGTCCTGGAAGTTACTAAACTTTTTATAATCGTAACAAAGGCTGTAGGTGAATTCGTAGACCAGACTGGTTCGTAGACGTGGAAACCCAGAGTCCGTTGCACGATTCCGACTGACACCATCACTATCAGCTAGTATGATCAATTAACTGTGATATCTTCTCCTATCCCAACCCTTTTTACATGACTGTGAAAAATAATATAAACTTTCATTTTGTGTAGAATAGAACTAATGGTAATACGGATTTAATCATGCTTTGGTTGTGAAAGCGTATCGCGATTTTCTTTCACCCCAGGGCGAGGTGTACACAATAGCCAATGAACCACTTGTGAAATTCACATAGTCGGATGTAAGTATTAGGGGAATTTCGAAATTGTTTGCCTGCTATAAATAGCAGTCAAACTCCGCATATACTGTTGACACTTTGGCTTGTTTCCAACGATGTGGGAGTTGTTTCCCTTGCATCGTGAAATGCTAGCATGAGCGAAAAGTCCACCAGCTGTGAGTTAAACCATAGATGGTTCAGACGATTTCAGAATAACACTGGAATTGGGGTAATTTTGGTTAAGGTGTGCGCACGGACGCACACACACACGTTGGACTTGAAAGTACTGGCCTACAAAATGATAAACTTACTCCTATTAATTTGTTTGGGAGTACTGCCTCATGTCATTAATATTCTACCTTGTGTAGCTGAAACCCTGAGTTCGGTTGAACAACATCCAACATGGTACATCAAATAGAACCCGTGAATTAACCCATGCTTGTCGTAAGAGGCGACTAACGGGATTGGGTGGTCAGGCTCGCTGCCTTGGTTGACACATGTCATCGTATCCCAACTGCGTATATCGATGCTCATGCTGTTGATCACTGGATTTTCTTACCCAGACTCGATTATTTATGCCATATAGCGCTGGAATATTGCTGCGCAAAATTGAACTCACTCACTCCAACATGTTCAAGCAAATGGGGCACCATGCCAGTCGATCAGTGGTGACATCACACGCACGCACACCAACACGTGACCTCCCTTTATCCTCTAATTCTAAGTACTAAAAATTTGCCTTATACGCAGGGATATACGGTAGTTTGACAGCCACTTCCATTCACTAACTCAGAGAAAGTCAAAAGAGGTTTTCATTTACCTGGTATTAATGTGAATTAATAGAGACAGAGAGTGAATCCGATTCAAATATAACATTTCACTATCACATAAAAACATTGCTGTTTATTTCAAATGGCATAAACATGACATGGCACCAAGAAGTCTACCACATTGCACGAAGCACAGTTTATAAATCTAAATATTATCAAAGGCAAAAACTGGTCCAAATGTTTAGGCAGTGAGACAATGGGTATGTACATTGATACAAGGTAAACACACAAGAACAGGTTAGTCTTAAATCGTTACATATTCACAGTGAATCTGTCAAATAGCATTATATAATGAGGGCCCTGATGGGTGTTCCAATGTGTTTAGGCATACGATCTATAGTACTCAAAAGAAGTTAAGGGTCGCCTCAGGTTCTCTCATGCCATGACAGATTAACTAAAAAAATACAAACAAATCAGATGGTCCTTAACTTCTTTCAAGTTGTATAACTGATGTATCGAAGATGAATACAGATTTCTCGCACACACAATGGGATATGTTAACTACCGTTTAACAAATCTGAAATACAACCGCCTCATGAAATATGAATATTACTTCATAAAATATTTAATAAATATACATGAAATGTTTAAGTTATTACACATATATACAAATTTCACAAAAGAAAAAAATGGATCTTTTTATTATGTCTTTTTTAAAATAAACTTTCTTAAATAAATCAAGCAAAAGATACCTCTCAGTAGATATGATTATGCTTGGTTTTCAAATAAAACTACCTTAAGTTAGTAATATTATGTCAAATAATGTACCCTACTGATGTTTTTTCAGCACTCAAAGAATACTTCTACATCTTTGTATTTTGTTTGAACATTATTGTTAGATAAACATAACATTCAACATCAGTTCTTTCAATGACCCGTGAAGATCCGGGTTAGAATGAGCCGTCAGTAACCCATGCTTGTCGTAAGAGGCGACTAACGGGATCGGGTGGTCAGGCTCACTGGCTTGGATGACACATGTCATTGGTTTCCAATTGCGCAGGCCGATGCGCATGCTGTTGATCACTGGATTGTCTGGTCCAGACTTGATTATTTACAGACCGCCGCCATATACATTGTAGCTGGAATATTGCTGAGTGCGGCGTAAAACTAAAATCACTTACTCATTCAATGTTCAATTACATTGAAAACAGACTTACCATACTTTGTTTTGCCCTTCATTCCATGTTGAAATACAAATCTGTTTTCATATGACTCACTTATATGTTACCATTGAGAGAAGGTAACATGAATAACCATGAGCGCCAACAAAACATAGAACGTGTTGGATAAACAGGGATTCAAACTGGATATCATACATTTTACAAACAATGAATTGCAGCACCTTAACCACTGTGCCACCCTTGACATCCTGTGTCATGATATGCCTTCCATGTTTCAGCACGAATCATTAGAGTGAGTGAGTGAGTGAGTATGGTTTTACGCCGTTTTTAGCAATATTCCAGCAATATCACGGCGGGGGACACCACAAATGGGCTTCACACATTGTGCCCATGTGGGGAATCGAACGCGGGTCTTCTGCGTAACGAGCCAACGCTTTAACCACTAGGCTACCCCACGAATCATTAGAGGTATACATGAGCAGGTATGATATTTTCAGATGGTATGTACAAGAGAAACATTGTTACTCTGACCAGGGATAATCTACAACGTTATATAGTCTCCCTGCTCTGACCTATGCAAGGTAACTATGTGAGTTCTGGCTGGAGGTCATCATGATGGAACATGTCTGTGCACCTGACAAGTGACAAGATTTACATACAGTGTTGTGTATATCATGACACAAGTGCTGAGAGTGTAATCCAACACAGTGTATGGCTAGAGTAGAGCCTTGTAACTGGTGTCTCTGTTAGTGGCTTCGTGCACCTTCCATCATACAGTCACACATTCCTGAAAGACTATAGGGACTTGTGAGCCAAACATTTCAACATATATACACTTGAGTATGTAAATATAATATACATAAAACACCCACATACTAGTGTGGTGTGGTGTTGTGTGGTGTGTGTATGTTTGTAGTGTAGTGTGTGTCATACCACATTATAACGGTCATGTGTGTGTGTGTGTGTGTGTGTGTGTAATGTAGTGTAGTGTATATATATTTTATGTCAGCTTATATCATATTGTATTAAGAAACAGTGAAAAAATAAACAATGTAACAAAATAAACAATGTAACAACATAAACAATGTAATATGTACATGGATGTGAGTAATATACTAGTACATGTATTCCAGTATTTACATCTAAACGTCCTCCAACAATGCTGAAACTGACCCTGGTCCAACATCACAAGAAGATACTGGAGGTCATTGCGCAACTGAGAAATACTCTGAAACATCAGATCTGAGCTTATGTCATAATGAAGTGTTGGCACACCCATGGATTATGTTATGGCTGTGCCTTACTAAACAATGTAATTTCGGTAGCGTCATTGTGTAAAAGTAGGCACAGTTGCTCTGCTGGGATAGTGTAAAGACCACGTTTAAAAGTAGTGGCTGCATCACTAGTGTGCAGTGGACAGATTGTATATTTAATGTTTTCAATCAGTGACTGAAATATGTTTTGTCTCCACCAAAACTTCTATCCCAGTTTCTGTCATATGAAAAACAATACATATGTTGATAGTGTTATTTGGATAATGGAATATCTATCTTAACTGGATTGTTGTCTATCAGATCATATATCTCTATTGGTATTCATTGTCTATCAGATGATTAAATATATATATATATTCGGCTGTCTTTATACCCTATATATATATATATATATCAGTTGGTTTCTATTGTGTATCAGTTCATAACATTTATATCTCATTTGGCCTCTTCATTACCGGCCAGATCAGAGCATTATTGGTTAATGTTCTGAATAGTGCCCATCTGCTTAGTATGTTCACACACATTCCACAGTCAAGAGTGAGTTATTTTCTTCCTTGTCTTCACTGAACAGCATTTCCCGGTCAGCCTGCACACAAGGTCACAACACCACATCGCCATTCAGCAGTCTCCCGAAGAATGTGTCAGTCGCCAAAATGTCTTCTGAGAAGTGAATGTCCAGTCAGTCTGTATGTGTCACTGAGGTCCATTAGTCACTTTCATGATGATCAATGAGAAATATGAATATTAATATCCTGTGAGTCAATAACTACTGACTGAAAGTACACCTTTTAACATAATTACTGAATGACATTGATGTAAGTTATGTACAGATATCATGGATATCACAAGCCTATGTGATATCATGGAAGTACTTGCTCATATCTTAGGTAATAAAAGCTATGATGTAACATGATATCGCAGTTTTAATACCATGGTCACTGTGGTTCTATTATCTCAGATATCATGCTGCTAATTGATATCACAAGTAAAAACAGATATCACATGTTCACATGTCTGAGTCAACATTAATCAGGTATGACACAAATGACTACAGATCAAAGTTCAAATTTCACCACATGTTAATCCCTGTGGATATCACGGGATATGACTGTAGAGAATCACCCAGAGGTGTTTTGTACCTTGGAACACTGATTGAAAAGGTTTTAAGAAGCCACTTTATACATCCAAAATGGATCACTTGAAGAAATTCACAGTTGGTATCCTATTATGAAGCAGAAGAACTGGCTTGCTGAAGGGTAACTCATCTTTGTTGGAGATTTGTTCCCCATGTTGAGTTAACATAAATACACCATCTTAATCTCCATCACGGCCTACATCACCATCAACATCAATATCACCATCTCCATCACATCTTTCAAGCTGGTGTCATGGTGTCAGTGAAGGTGGACTTGATTTGAATGCTGGTCCTTTGGTCCGTGTCCAACAGAAATACCAGAGGCACAGCCATATCTCACATCCTGTTGTGTTGGCTGATGAGGTCAATACTTCCACACATGTAACACCAAGTTTACAGAAACACATTCAGATCTAGTATCCCACATTGTATTGAAGCTAGCTCTCTTGAACATTTGTCTCCAGTGCTTTCACACATGTTGTCACCTCATCTTTTCTCAACATGCAGCTACGGCCCCAGCTTAGCCCCTGAATCCTTACAGAATCCTTACAGAATCCTTACACATCTCCATAGTCTCTCTCCATCTGGACCCTGAAGTCCTCGAACACAGAGTGTACATGGAAGAAGGAGGGCCTTGTTACTGGGTCATACTTCCAGCATTGTTGCATGATCATATAGTACGGGTCGATCTGCTCAGGAAGCCAGTGTTCTTGTGGCTTGGGAAGTCGGTATCCTCTCTGGATCTCATCCACAGCTTCAGATGCTCTCATACCTGATCAACAGAGTATTGGTGTACTGGTCACAACTCACTATAGATACAACCCCTGCAACAGGTTACTAAATATGTGTGTCACAAATTTGTTTCTAATGTGTTTGCCTTCATGATTAAGAAATTATTTCATGTATATTCTCATTCATTTGTTATAGTTTTCTTGCAAAATCAATATTTTCGGATTGTATTTTGATACAACAGTGTATTTTTTAAATGGAAATCTAAATCTAATAAGGTTATCCAAACTTTGCAATAACATATTATGAAACAGATTTTTCATAGGCATTCTCCTTTTGACAAAATATATAAAAACAACATAAATAATTATGTATAAGTTTTCTGTGTTAAAATCATTTCATAATCTCATTTAGTTATTTTTACTGCAAGCATGTTATCCATTTGAACTTTACTGATAACATCATGCCCAGACACCATATATATAAGCATATATTTCTGTTGCATTATATTTTTACTTGATTCAGTTCTATGGGATTTCACCTGGAACATACAGAAAACAGTGAGTTCCCTACCTGCATACGGTTCCTTCCCCGATGTTGCAATCTCATACATGAGAATACCAAAGGACCACACGTCCGACTTGATGCTGAACTTGCTGAACAACACTCCCTCAGGAGCAGTCCACTTGATCGGGAACCGCGTACCTGCATGTACAACAAATCCAATAAACAGACTCACACAAATACAACATAGATTCATACCACTACCACACACTGACTCACACATATCCAAACACACCATGCAAGTTGCTACATGGCTGAATTGAATCTGATGCAACAGCTTATATTCACTCATTCACAACACACACAAAAAATACTGGTATTGGAAATTCCATGTCTTTGACAGCAAATCAACACAGAAACAGTGTTACATTAGGGGAATTATTGAATCTAAAGGGGAATCAGTGACTTATTCTTGTGAATGGATGTACCACATGCTAGTTCCGATGGTAAATGGTAAGAAATACATGGTACCTTCTTTGCCCCACTTTGCATCTCATGGATGAAGACAAATGAGTAGAATGGCCCAACACTTACCTCCTGCAACATACTGGCCATCATCAACTACCCTTGCCAGTCCGAAGTCAGCGACCTTGACATCGTGATGTTCCCCAACCAGGATGTTGCCAGCACGGAGGTCACGGTGGATGAAGTTGCGAGATTCTAGAAACGCCATTCCTTCTGCTACCTGTGTATATGCAATCAACAAACAGTAACATAGCATCCAAATAAGCCACTATGTTCTTGTTAGTGTTCAGGGAAAGGGTGTAAGATCTTTATGTCTGGAATTTGAAAGGAACTCAATAGGAATTACAATATTATTCCATGTTAAATTTCATCAATTCAGAGTCACCTCATCTCTATAACAGGATACCAAGTTGTCAAATTTGGTGCTACTGACCTGCCGTGTCATATTGAGCATCATGGTATGATCCAGCTTGGAACGCCTTTCTCTCCTGAGGAATTCCAGTAGAGATCCATGAGCCATGTACTCTGTGATGAGCAGCACAGGTTCACAGTTTGTACACACAGCTAGAAGCTGGACCAGACGAACATGACGTAACTTGTTCATTGTCCTCGCCTCTTTACGGATAAATTCTTTCACAGTCATTCTCCCAGGCTTTAACATCTTGATGGCAATGTCAAGTTTCCTCGAGCTTTCCTGAAATAATAACAATCAACATCAATCATCTATATCACATTGATCATCACATCCATCATCACTACCATCATCATTGCCATCTTCGTCATCATCATTGTCCACATTGTCATTGTCATCATCATGATTGTCCTCATTGTTATCATCGCCATTGTCCTCATCACCATCATCATCATTGTCCCTATCATCATCATCATCATCATCATTGTCCTCATCATCATTGTCCTCATTGTCCCCATCATCACCATCATCGTCATTGTCCTCATCACCATCATCATCATCATTGTCCTCATTGTCCCTCATCATCATTGTCCTCATTGTCATCATCATCATTGTCCTCATCACCATCATCATCATTGTCCCCATCACCATCATCATCATTGTCCTCATTGTTATCATCATCATTGTCCTCCTCATCATCATTGTCCTCATGGTCCTCATCACCATCATCATCATTGTCCTCATTGTTATCATCATCATTGTCCTCATCACCATCATCATCATTGTCCTCATTGTCATCATCATCATCATCATTGTACTCGTCACCATCCTCATTGTCATCATTGTCATCATCATTATCCTCATTGTTGTCATCGTCATCATCATTGTCATCGTCATCATCATCATTGTCCCAGCAGTGATTGCAGTCTACCTATTCAGAATCACAACATGCTTTAGATACATTTATGTTCAAGACCTGCATTACTTAGGGCTTTCTTCCATCATGAAGTCGACACACTGTGATATAACTAGAACAAGTCTCACTGTCTACATTTATGACAGTTCAGAGCATGATCAAAGTAATACCTTTCCACACTTCCCCGAAGTATCCTGCACCAAGCTTCTCTGACATGCGGATGTTCTCTCGGCTCACCTCCATACTGCGGAGATGGGTGACCGGGGCTGTCCTGGGACAGGGTTGGGTGAGTCGGCACACCAGACCATCTTCCTTCTCTGCAAACACAAGCCCATGTGATGTCACAGCTACTATGATTTCCATAGTTCTTAGAAAACATGTAAATACTGTGGTTTAAACACTGCATTTAGTGTATTCTAATAACCTCACTTAATTGTCCAACCAATGTACGTGATACAAAGGTGTGCACAGACACCAGGTATTTTGGGACATTGACATATCCTGATACAAACATGTGACTTCAAAATTCGAACAAAAACCAAACGTTTGAGAGAACAATTGGGTTCAGCTCCAAAAGTCCCATTGTTCTTGAACTGTTCACTTGCATTCACTCTTGGTGAAATGTGTTCTCAGGATCAAGAGGCCTTGCATATTGGTCTATTGTAACGGTAGTTAGGACTGGTTATAATTTATGGCTAGGGGGTGATGATGATTGATTTTTATTTATTTTTGGGGGGCATTGATTTTGTACATGACATGCAGGAGGAGGGGGGGTCATTTACTATGCACACAAATTGGGGGGGGGGGGCATTTCCATTGAACATGCATGCTTCTCCATAGAAATCTTCATCCCACCCCACCCCCACTAGGCATAAATTATGAATGGTCCTTTACAATTATGCAAATTCAAGATGATTGCCTGATTTAGAAATCCAAGATGGCTGCCCGATGATGCTTACAAGTTTTCTAGACTACATACTAATCAGGTCAAGGTTCAACTCCAAACACTGTTTTTTCCACTGGAACATGCTCCAAGCATCAATCAAAGTCAATGCAAATGACACTCACTCTGATAATGTTCCACAAGCTTGATGACATCAGGGAAGAGTTTTCTAACTCCAATGTATACTTGCCCATCAGTCGATTTACGTATCTTGTAATGTCGGATAGACGGTGTTCTGCCGTCTGCTTCCAGACACCGCACAGACAATGCATAGGAATTTTTGTCTGAAAATGACAAGTACTTTAGATTATATATTTCTATTACCATAAGCTCATCTCCAAAGTTAGCATGAAGTCCTGAAAATGTACTTACTAAAATGGCAGAAAAATCCCCAATGACATGTCAAGTTTTAACTCACTTGCTCAGTCTCTCAGTCACAGCCTAGTGGCTATTAACTGTTCACCTACCACAACAAAAAGCTCTATGATGATCTAGTAAATGCACAATGTGGGTCAGATTGATGAATCTCAATACAGATGTCCCCATCTGTGGTATGATCGCTGGCCCACCTCAAGGACTCCACTCTGTACAGTACATTGCAGCACCTTAGAAGAATGGAACTACAGAAATATTCCTATAATGTGTTCAAACACTTCCCAGGCAGTGTGCTATGTAACATTGTGGTTGAAGTGTTAGCTTGTCACACCAGTGTGTGGGTTCACTTGCACACACAACGGGAAGCCAAGTTTAGCTGTCCACATCTCTCATATTACGGGAATATTGCTCAAAGAAGCATAAAATCTCACTCACTCACTCACTCACTCAGTTTGTGTGTAGGGTAGTGTCTCACCTGCCGAAGCCCTAACAAGGAAGCTGCCTGTCATCACGCTCTCCCTTTCAGCCATGCCTCCCATCATGCCGGGCTACAGTCAAACCACCAGCTGAAAACCATCACCAATACTTGAACCATGGCAGACAGGAAATCATGCAGGTATACTACAGTCCCACAATGCACAGTAACACCTCATTTGTACAAACACCCTGCCTTCTGGATGATCTTGTTGGAAATGTATCTATATGACCCACACAAAGGAAGTTACGCTTATACTTTGACAGTCAAGATAATAGCGACTAATAATTTCACCTGGAACAAATGATTAACAAGGGCCCATTGTCTCCAGTAACATTTGAACAATGGCCATGATCCGGGTGTTGTGACACAACAAAAAGGGACACTTGACATTCAATCCATTGTACTTTCGACAGAAAGATAATATGTGTAATAACTCTCTGATATTTGCACACATGAATTTTAGTGATTCTCAATGCTGATTGGTCATCAAATGGAGACCAAATATGTACAATGCTTTGTTCTTTTAACATTTGGGTTGACATCCATGATGTTCCAGTGTCCCAAATTGTTACCATCTGAACAACAGGGCCACATTAAGTCTGTGTGTAGGGTTGACATTTTATACAATTTCTCTTCATGTTCACTTCTTACAAAACATCAGTGACTTGTAACCAACAAGTCCTGCTGTCAGATGCTCGCCATGGATTGAGATTAACATCATTCCATCACTCTGACAGATAATCCATAAGCCCTCACTGCTCATAGTCCCTAAATAGCTAGGATATTGCTGACTGCTGCATAAAACATATTTTATCTATTAATTCCTTTCACAATGTATTCATAAAGGGCATGCAGTGGGTAGCCTAGTGGTTAAAGCGCTGGCTTCGTCACAATCAAGACCCGGTTCGAATCCCTACATGGATACAATGTGTGCAGAAGCCTATTTCTGGTGTCCCCAATCGCGGATGTTGCTGGAATATTGCTAAAAGCGGCACAAAACCAAACTCAGTCAGTCAGTATTCATAAAGATTTATAACTTTGAATACAAATAAACACACACAGCAAGATATGGGGACAGCTCTATGTAACCTTGGCAACAGACAATAGTGTCAGCAGCTAGCCAGAGCATCCTTCTTTGTGTAGTGAGGCAGCCCAGTGGTTAAAGCTGCTTGTCGGTTCAAGTCCCCACAAGGTTACATTTGTGAAGCCCATTTCTGGTGTCCCCTGCCATGATATTGCTAGAATATTGCTAAAAGTGGCGTAATATCCAACTCACTCACTCACTTTGTGTAGTGGCCTTTAAAATTCTATGATGGATTCAAATTATGGACTTTTCAATCCAAGGTCAGATATTTGATGAAATGACCAAACAGGTTAACCATATCCGCAAGCCACAAGGTGACGGTGGACAAATGGACAGACCAAACTTAAGCACATATCAAAACTGACAATGTTTGTGAATAACATCATACATATATCACACGTTACACATATCATCATAACACACAGGGAATTTAGGGCAATAAATGTAAATGAGAACAGATGGCAACAAAAGATTTAAACTTATATCACTGGGTACAATATGTCCAATCGGATGTTTGATAGGCATTTAGAAGTTGGTAGGGTAATACCTCTGTAACTATTCTCTGTCATTCACCTACTGAAGGGGCAAGTAGTAGCCCAGAAACGTCGTGTGTAAATAACAAAGAAGTTGCACATCCATATCAAGTGTGTTGTATTATGTCCAATGTTTTAGTTGGATGTTATTCTTCGTTATAACCCTGCAGTTGTAACGAGTCAATGTCGGACCATTTGATTCTATTAAGTTGAATACTGTGTCCTGGCATCAACTACTGATTTTGCATCCTTTGCATTCATAGTGCGGCTTTTGCCTATGCTGTATAAAAATCTGTAATGCCCTTTAAAGAGAGTGCAAGTCTATACATAAGAACCAAGTCATGATGCACCATAAAGACAGACGATAACCCTGTTTGAATTACATCATTAAAGAAGCTACGCGAACCGCCACCGAGTCAGCAACACAGTATCACCATGAGGCACTTGGGGAACATGTCCCGTGAAGATCCAGTTTAGGGATTGATCTTCAGAAATCCATGCTTGTCGTGAAGGAGTGACTAACAGGATCGGGGGTCAGACTCGCTGTCCTCGTTGACACATGTCAACGTATCCCAGATGTGTAGATCAATGTCCATGCTGTTGATCACTGGATTGAATATTTACAGACCACCGCCATATAGCTGGAATATTGCTGAGAGCGGCTATATTAAAACAAACCAACTTTCAACCACTTGGGGAACATGTCCCAACACCTCGTAAGGATGGGAATGCCACAATAACTCGGTGCACCTAGTGGCTGCAAGAGCTGTATGCTCCCCCAGGGAGTTGAGAGAGATTGACAATACGATGTGCCGCTGAGATTGACATCCAGTGAACGAGGGAAAACAAAGCTTCTTTGAGCAGCTGAGCTGAGCTGGATATGGGCTTATACAAAATGTTAGTATGTATGATGTATGTAATTAGTGGCATCCAGTCATTTGTGGATAGTCACAACTAGTATTCTAATAGATGTGGAAAGTGCAACTCTTGTCAAACAATCTTAAACAGGAAACATTTTCACCAGGGGTGTCATATTCACAGTGCAGGGGGTTTTATCTCGAGTCGTTTCTGGTCGACTAACAGGTAGATTCACATCCTTCCTTCCTTCTTCACACAGCAGGAAGAACCCCAGCAGTGGATTGGGCTCATCTATTTCCTGGGGAGTTTGTGGTATGAATGAGGTAGAGCTGATGCAGATAAGGTGCGGAAAAGTGCGATCTAAGCATTATGGTGATATTTAGGATTGACAGCATCAATAATTGATCCCAAGATTTAATCCATTCAACCAAATGACTCAACCAATGCCTCTTCCTTCCTTTTCACCTTTAAAGGTTTCATATATATTTTGGCATGGTAGAATGGAGATTCAAATTTCAAATTCACAACATCATTCTTGGTATCTAATTGAATAAAATAGAAATTCACATTGTTGAATCTATGAAAACAGTTTTATCTTGAAGTAGAAAATTGCCATTTTAGCCAAAAACATCTGAGACGAGTCAGCATCATTTTCTAGTAGTGTCAAGTTTTATCACATGTACTGTAATTAGCCGCGGTTACTTATGCTGAAGGGGTTGTTGTTGGCAGCCGGCACTGACAGATTTGTAATCTATGCAATGCTTCTGTATTCAAAAATGTTGCCTATGATGAGTCCTTTCACGGGTGCAGTCAACACCACTTCACAATTAGCTGAATAGGAACAACTACATACGGTTTCTCGCATTTGGTTTTATGGAATATGGGCTCATCCGACTTTTAGCATACCAGGTAATGCTTCTGTACTTTGACTTTGTTTCTAGAGTACATTTCTGTGCATACATGTATCTGGGGTACATATCTGTAGAGTTTGTGCTGATAATCCACCCTTCAGCTGCCATTTCTATCCAAACAGGAATCTACTAGGACTCAGGGGCTTGAGACTCATGGTTCAAGTCACAGACTCAATGGGAGATGAATCTTAATTCTGAGCCTGAGGGGAGTTATCATCCACCTTCACATAGTTGACAGGGATGTATCCCTCTCTTCCCATTGGTCATCAGGTCTGGTGCAGATCACCCAATCAGCAGTGTCACTGCAAACAACAGAAATAATCCAATTTGGTACACATTTATGATACAGTGTAAAAAATTACTTATTGTGACAGTGGTCAATAAAAATATATACTTCACCCCCGTTTCCTTAACTGAAGAAGTTAACAGATCCCTTCATGAAGATGACGTTTATCTCTTTAGACTTTTATCTAAATTTCGATGTTATTCAATAAAGTTTAGGGTCAGCAAATTCCTAAAACAAATAATTAAACAAACAATAGGGCATGATCATTCAACAGAGAATAATCATCACACAAACAATAAATAAACATTTAGCATACACATTCTGTGGCCAGGTGTCCCTGCAAGTGGCTAAACCAGAATTTATAATATACATAGGTTAAATCATCTAAGACATAATGTGACTGGAGCAGTAAGCATGTTTTGGTTTCTGGTTTAGTTTGCTTGTCATTTAACGCCAATCTCACCACACCATTCCAAGCTTATATGGCAGCGGGTCTGTAAATAATAAAGTCTCCAGACAATCCAGTGATTAACATCATGAGCTAACTGATTCACACAATTGGGATACAAATTTTATTACGTTGCAGAAGAACAATTTAACCCGGATCTTCACGGGTCAGTTAACATGTACTCAGTCCATCACCCCAGCCCTGCATCCACCAATGGTCCACAGGATTATTTCATATAGTGCACAACTGAGTTATAATGCCTTACAGCTATATAAGGGATACCGTATTCAAGGAAAAATAATATTCAAGTATTATGACAGAAACTATTTATAGAAACAGGCCTCTCTTTACTGATGATACATGTTTTGTCGTGAGTAACAATGACAATAATACTCTTCATTTATAGGGAGCGAGATAAATCTGTGGAACATAAATGTATGAGGAGACTCATGCCCAAAACGATAACAAAATGGTGGATTCGAGTGTAACTGTGACATATGGTTGAAATGTTGAAAGAAGTACCTGTCAGTACTCGACCTTGGTGTTAACCTTCCTGAGTCTGTCTCCTTTCACAAAAGACAAGTCATCCCCTGCGACCAGTTCTCAAAGTCGTATACATTGCTAGGAAGATAAATAGCCTTGAAAGAACAAATATGGCTGCATACATGTTGCCACATGATGGTACATACAGGCTCATTATCAGATCTGATAGACATCGCCTGTATAGAAAGTCCTCTAGATAACACCCAATCTCACACAAAGGGATGGATGGGTCCTTGAGGTCGGCGTCAGCTTTTGGAAACAATTCAGTAATTCTTCATTTCTTTGTATCACCTTGTATTTGAAATGTTTACATACAAAAGAAAACCCACATAGAACATCACATTATTCATTCTTCTAGTGATCTCTTTGGGTGAAGCTGTCAAAGCAC